ATATATATAGCTCTTTTAAAACATATATATATATATATTCGCTTCGGCCGGATGATTTCGTTGCTACGGATGAGAGGTTCGGCATAACTCTTTTAAAACATCACTTCGATCAAAAGCGCTTAGATAAAGTGCTGTAATAGCCGGGCCTCCACATTAGACTCTATGTTATAAACGTACTCTTAAGCAGTACGTAAATTATAAACGTATTCTTAATAGTACGAGGATCTTAAGTTTCCTAAATGGTTTTTAATGGTTTTCTTAATTAATATCTTTTCCATTTTACATATCAGATATTTGGGAGAGGCCATTAAAAGGCCTCAGTAAAATACCAAACATAAGAGTTGATCTAGTTCTATTAATAGAACTATATTTACTTTCCAACTTTATTTATATCTGGATACTTCGGTAGCGAGATGGCTCAACCGAATATAGGTTTCTAAGGACTATTAACGCTACCTAGTTGGTCCTCCGATCAGCCAACCAGGTGTGCCAGTCGGATGAAGGCTAAGTCGGTAATTCTTGATAAGTGGCAAGTTATTGGTTAAGACAATAACTAAGGACATCAAGAGTATTTTTCCTTTTTTCTTCTTCTTTTTTTCTAAAGAGAGGATTTTATGAGTCTCTCAGATTCGCCCCAATGAAACATACCATAGTTTCCAATAGAGCGACAACGAAACACTAAATAAAATCCCTTTGGCGGAAACAGTACTTAGAGGATTATATATAGGCAATGTCTCAGCCTCACAATCCCTCAGAGTATTGCTGTTTTCACGAGGCATACCTAACTTCTAAAAGTCTCATTTCGTTTATTTACTTTGAAATTTCACGATACTTAGAATTTACCTAGGCGTTTATTTATTCTAAGGCGTTAATATCGCCTTGAGAGACCGAATCTTACAAGGCAGGAACGTTATATCGAAGCGGTATGCGCGGAAGGAGCTATTATGTCTATACAGCTGCATTGCAGGGTTTGCCATGTCTTTGTAGAGACATGGAGACCAATGAAGAAAGTGTCGTATTTGAAAGATTAGCTAGGTAGTTGGGGTACAAAGGCATCAGCAACAGCAAAGAGGGTCAATCTCTGATGGAAGCTTGGATTAGTGAGGTAGATGGTCGCGACGTATTTATTAAGTTAAATATACATTTTGAGTTAGCATTTGCTAAGCTCAAGAAACGTACAATGGTGCATACGAATATCATACAGAATCAACAAAAAGTGAGTGCCCTCCACAAAAACAGTTGAGCGGAAGCATCTCGAAATCAATCACGAAGGCAACTGGTCGTGCACAATCGAAAGTCAAAGCAACCTATGAAGCTCAGGTTACAACTATGCCGCTTCCCAGCGTAATTGATCTCGGCATAAAAGTTTTACCACTTCTACCAGTGGCTAGTGGTAGTGGCTACATAAAAAAAAAACGTTGATGTATGTCGACTACACTTCACCAGATACCCAAGCATTTAACAAGGGGAGAACCACGAGAAGTGATATGTCTGTGCGGATCGAGCTAGTATATTTCCATTTGGTGAATATACATCCACGGGAAGCAAACGCACGCGAAGATGTGCGGTTGGCTATGCCTCAAGTAGGGTGTAGCACAACACATGTGTCCCGCGTACAATCATTCATTTGATATGCGTTTAGCAAATGTTGTGCATGTCGTACGTGTTTAAGCAGTGAATATGTAACCAGTGAATGTACATCCCGTAAGTGGACAGCCGGAGAATATACAATTGAGAACCGTACACAGGCCCGTAGAGATGCGTGCTACAGACCAACAGCAACAGCCTATCAACCGTCGACAAATATCAAAGTACCACGCACATCTGTTCGAAAGCGGTGCATAAAGTGTAGTGACAATCTTTCATATCAGCGGCCATATTGAGGCTCATGTAGTCTATATAAGTTGAATAAATTAAATCTTTGTTTTGAAATATACAGTTTAATATCATTCAAGTACATACATCAGCATACGTGTTGCAGGGTACTAGAAAGGGCACTTCTCTACAGCTTGCGTAGTCACTTCACATGATGCTGTCGGCTTGCGGCCACAAAATTCCAGCTCCGCGTACTATCACTGTGCTTCATTGTCCATCCAGTGATATCATCTGTATCGTTACAAAGAAAACCCTCTGCGCAGACTTTGCCACTTGATTTCGTGTAAAGCAATACTAGACCCACAGTATCACTCGCTAGTAGATTACGCTTGGGGGCTTGTTTCCCAGCAACGAAAAGTCTATAGGGCACGTACACGTTTCAAGCAGCATAGTTCTGCTGCTCAGCATTCAGATCGAATGCAGCCCATTATCCACAGCGAATGTTTTCAGGTTTGGGCGAATGTTCCTTCAATACTATCTCTGCGATTTCCTGCAAACTCTCGTTTGCTTTCGCGACTAGTCTTTGTTATTTAAGATATGTGGCAATGTCTATGCCTTCAGTCGTATGTACATCACATATCACCTGCATTTGGCGAATATCTACTGAAACAACTGAATAACCTACCCACCGAGCGGCATCCTGTTGTAGAATGTCTTTCAGACGCTTTGGCATAGAATTCTCGCAACTTTCCCTCATGAGATGTGGTAGCCAGATGAGCAACGCAATCTTGTCCGTACTTAATTGCAGTAGGTAAATCTTCTGTACTCTTTTGCCGCGATCGGGCACCTCCCATTCACTGTCGAAAGCGTAAACATGGGGATATTCCGGAAGTACCTTCATTTTGGTATAAAAAACCCCATTGTTTGTGTCCAAACGCCTTTTTGCCTTCATTTCATGCCAAATCGAAAAATGCCTTTATTTCATGCCAAATGTAAAATACCTTTTTTTTAAATTTTTTTTTTGCGATGAGCGACACGGTGTCGAGATTGTATGAAGGAATATGCGCGAAAACTTC